GAGAACATGGTTGTTGTTCAATAATAAAATTGTTCCTCAAAAATACAACTTGCCTAATAATTCTGCACTCCCTGTACTTCTAAAGCCCTTGTTAACGTGTACCATCTTCTACTGTATTGTTGTGTTTTATAGCCCATTTAGATAATCAGACATTCATCAACTCCCACAGGCAGCAGAACCAGCATTAACAAAAGAAGCTTACAAATTTGTTCTTTGGTACTAAACGCTAGCTATTCTGCCTACACCAGAATGCCTCCTCTTTTAAACTGCACTGCATACTGATAGATGGAAATACAGACTGTAGCTAGCATCACTAATACAAGAGCAATACTAGGAAGACAGAGGGAGCAAATCTAGATCTTTTTTCCACACCCAGATTTTAACCCCAATACTGTTATGTAAAACATGGCTTTAGCTGGCCTTTCACAGCTGCAGCTCATTCTCTATGCAGCAGCTGAGCTCTTGGCAGACTCAGTCCAGAGAATCCATCTCCACCCTCTGGTGTTCCCACATGGCTCCCTGCCAGCAGAAATAATTTCAAACTTTATAATCTACAAGGTTCTGTGTTATGTCCCACAAGATCAGGATGTCCAAAGTCTCCCATTTATGTTCTATTGTGGAACACTGAAAAAAATTGCCAAAAAGTCACAGAAGAAACTGATAATTTAATAACTACCTCCTGGTAATGCAATAGCATGCCCATAATCCAATAAAAATACTGAGCATATAAAGTAATACATTTTTATGTGTAATGCAATAAGCATAATGTGTGTCTTCACTGAAAAAATTTAGCACAAGGAAACATTCATCTAGGCTCATTTCCTTAACTGGCAAAAGTTCCTAGTGTAAAAACAGGATATTATCTCTAACTGGCTTCCCACCCTCCACCTACAAACCCTGGCCAGGTTTTATGACTTCCTGCCAAAGAATAAAGTCAACTCTTGTGAGTCCTGTGAATTTTGATCTGTGTTTCATGTGAGGCCTGATTTAGATTTCTGCTAGGAAACATTGTAGAGCCTACGATGTAAGCTATGTAAGTGGCCGACGCCATTGCATTTATGGTTGTGAGTGGTGTATTATGTGTTAATTATCAAGTGTTTTACATGCGGTGCTGCCTCATAGAAACAAATTAGATGCTGGGACCTTTCCCACCCTTGTGCCCACTCTTTGTTTCTGAAATAAATTGCTGATATTTGTGAGTCCTTATATTGATGCTATGATTAGTATTCTCATATTGAGGCAATGATTGTTATTCTCTCACTGATAAATTTAAAAATTGTGAAAAAGTACCCAGAAATAGACAGAAGGAATCAACTGAATAGTGTAATCACTATAGTTTCGGGCTGCGTTGATCCAATGTGTAGTTATCTTTCTTGGGAGTTTTACATTAGGTTGTCCTGTAGGTTATGTACATGCAGCACGGCTTAGGTTTGGTAAGTTTCATCTGAATAAAACCACAGGACTTGAACAATGTAATTTGGACCGACAAGCCCAAAGTAGAGATGTTTGACAATAATGCACAGTGCCACATTTGGTAAATATAGCATAAACATGTCATACCAACTGCCTAGCACAGTGGTGGAAGGGTAATGATTTGAGCTTTGCAGTCATTAAATCAGCTTTATTCTAGAGTCAAATATGACGCTAGTTGTCTGACAGCTAAAGATTGGGCAAAACTCGGGCATGCAAGCGAACAGTGATCCCAGCACACCAGCAAATATACAACAAAAGGGTTAGAAATAAAAGAATTAAGGTGTTGCAGTGGCTCAAAATCGAGACCTCAACCTGATTGAAATGCTGTGGTGACACCTTAAGAAACTTATATGTAATCAAATACCCACAAACCTCAATGAACTGAGGCAATGTTGTAAAGAAGACTGGGGGAAAAATTCCTCCACAACTATGTGACAGACAGATAAAGTCATAATCTTTAACTTATTGCTATAGGTGGTTTTACAGGCTATTGAATCTTGAGGTATATTTATCTTATCAGAGAACTGAATATATATTTCTTTTTTACATGACTGTTTCACCCTGAATGTGTAGAGAACAATAGGAGATAGCATTGTCCTAACAAACTCCATATCCTGAAAAATCTCAAAGTGTAAACTCCCCTCGCTCAGGGTTAAGTCAGACACTGGGATGAAGACATAGATACCAAATCAAAATCTTAAATGGGGTTCTTTATCTTGCTCAAGAATACTTTGGCATGCAGAGTGTCACAATCTGGTTGTAGGAATTCAGGCGCAGAGCGGTTAGACGTCTCCAAACAACAGTATATGTACAGCACCAGTGCACAGTATATACAGTGCAGGGAATCCAAAACTCCAGGGAATCACAGGGTAGCTCGCTCACGTCTTCTTGCCCGCACTCACACACATTCACACGGCAGGGAGGTCACAGGTCCGGGGAGGAAGGTCTGAAGCAGAAGAGAAGGGAAGTCACAAACTAATCACGAATCTCAAATTACTAAGCACGAGTTCACAGGAGCTGCGAAAAACACTAACGCCAGTAGTACAATCATCCAGCGACGAGAGGATCTGTGTTCCAGCCTCAAATAGTGCTCCCGGTGATGACAGGTGATTGTTGTCAGGTGTGTGGGCCAAGGGCGGGAGCCCACAGTGAGCTCCGCCCAGGCAGAGAGGGAGAGAGAGAGAACCAAAACAGCACATGTAGCCTTGTGGGGCCAGCCGGGCAGGCACGGAGACCATGACACAGAGTCCATGGATCAAACCACCAACCTTCTAATTGGTGGAAGACCTGCTCAACCTCCTTAGCAACAGCTTTCCTTATTGAGATACCTAGATGTTCCACAAACTTTTGCCCATGCTCATAGCGTAATTCAGTGAAGCTCAGACACATATATATTTACCATTTCACTGCTGCAAAATCATTTTAAAGTTCTTGCAATGAACTTTCTTTATTATGCGAGAATCACTGCACAGTACTACCGAGTACTACAGTTTTTTTTAATATTTTAAAAATCTTTTTGGAAATCAAATGTGCAGCAGGTGCTAACTTGCCTGAGAATATTACAAATGGGACTGTGTATTACTGCGGCTAACTATTTATTAGCTGTAGAACTGCAGCTTCACTACTTTCAGTCTTTTCTCAGAAAATTGCATTGAACACAGTATCATTTAATTTTAATAATTACGTAGAGAATCAGACAGAACCAGACAGCTAACCCTACCCTGACCTTTAACAAAAGATTTACACTGTAGACCCAGTTGCTTGATAGTGGATAGCTATTTTAATGCCATTGCCCTCTTCTGCTGAATATCCCCATTTTATTTATTACGCGTATTATTCCGGTCATTTTTGAGCTGCTAGCCTACCACATATCTCTCAAATGGTCCAATAAAATGCAGAGAAGTACACCCTGCTCTGATTTCTATGGCCTCAAAGCAAACTCTAAATACACTCCCAACTTCACAAACACCACTTAAGGCCACTGCTGCTGCACACATAAACACAGATGGAGGGATACAGACACCTTATCATATGTAGTGTGATAAGCCGTAATGCAAGTAATCACTAAACAGTGCTCAGCATTGAAGGGACATGTAATGATGTGTCTACATTTGCATATAAACACTCTGTTTATAGTTTTTGTGCAATCATTGCAATTGCCACAGTAAAACCTTAGTAGTGAAACCTGCAGTTAGCTCTGTTGCTACCTTACTGCGAGGACATGAAAATTAAACTCCCATCCAGCAACTCAGTATGAGTATAACTCGTGATATAGCATGCAGAGCTTTTCCTGCACTTACACTGTTTTCTCTCTGTCCCTCTCTCTCCAGGGAAACCAGATCCTGAGCGGCCTTTCTCTGGACGAGTACAAGGCCACTCTGAAGATGATTGAAAGGGCTATTCTGGCCACCGACCTTGCCCTGTACATGAAGTAAGTACTAAACATCAAGCCTCAATGGAGACTGAATGAGAGGAAAAGAATGGAAGAAGAAAAGCAGTATTTTAAAGGTTTTTAATCAGTGCAAAATTGAGTACAATTGAGATTACACTCACCTTGTGACTGTTAAAGCCTTCATCACTTAAGTTCTACTCACTCCTCACTCCTTATAGTAATTCTGTAGGTCTAGATACAAGTTAGTGTTTAAAAGTTGTGTCTTTCTTCTGGTGAGTGTGCATTTGTGTGTGGGTGTGGTGGTGTGGGTGGGTGGATGGAAAGGGGGTATTTTCTTTCTTTGTAATATAATTGCCTTAGAACTCATGTATGTCTACAGCCCCAGAGCAGCTAAAAGTTAAAATGAAAATAAAATACAGACTGTATAAGTACTCAAGCAATTTACCTGCCAAGTACGTTTGAACTGGTGGGATTTTAAGGGTGGCTCCACAGAAAATTTATAGTTTTTCAGTCTTCACAGTGTTGGTTGTTATACCCAGTCTTCTGAAAAGAGGGGTGACAATTTTTTACTACATCTTAATGCATTCATGTTTTTTCTTAACTCCCTCCTACTACCTCAGTGACTTCAGCTCTTATCTTAGCCCACTTTTAGTCTAGACAGTGGGTGGTTTGGGGGCTAAGTGGGTTATATATGAGGATAATTACCTGCTGTGACATTGTTCATGTGGGTGTGTGCTGTCAGGAGGCGAGGGGAGTTCTTTGAGCTGACCAAGAACAACCAGTTTGTTTGGGAGGATGAACACCACAGAGACCTGCTGAGGTGAGTATAGAGTCTCAGATGCCTGTATTAACATTTACATCAACATAAGACAAATGTTTGTGAGGGACAGGCCACCTGCTGTGCAAAGTCTGAAAAGTAAAAAAGCATCATGGCAGCGTGATGATTAACACTTCTATTGATCAACATATAGTTGTAAAGGTTATGTGTTGAAACCATTTCTTCAAGAAAAATGGTTTAGCCATCAATGCAGGCATTCTTTGCATTATAGGTTGCCAGATATGGGTTAAGACCAAAGTTTTAGGTTTTGCTATACAAACCTTATATTCAAACCTGCCAATACCATGGTAACAAGTCCAGAGTTTCTCCTGCTACGAGAAACTAGTGTGTCTGTGGAAATTTAATGTCTGTAACTTTGTCACCCCCTTCAGGTCAATGCTGATGACTGCATGTGACATCTCTGCCATCACTAAGCCCTGGCCAGTACAAAAAAGGGTAAAAAAACAAACAAACAAACAAACAGAAAACCCCGCAACCTTTACCTGTCTGTATGTTGGTACGCTGCTTTTCTGTGTATTTATGTTTTTACTGTGGTATACACACACATCCCCTCATTTCTGTTTTCTATAGTTACATAGTGTTTCTATGAAATATTAAAAAAAACAGCTGAAACTGTACTCACTTTACATATAAAGGGAAAATGGCAATGAGTAAAATATTAAAATGTATTTAAAAAATATAAAAACGTATCAAAGACTCAAATTGAAGCAAACAAACCAAATTTTAAAAAATAGATTATAACTGCTAGTTAATTTGTATAATGTAATTTAAAATCTTAGTTAAATTGATGATACAAAAATAATTAAGTTCCTTAGTATCAAGACAGTTAACACTTCTGCTTTGCAGAAGATGAGAGAAACCCAGGGAAAGAGAGTTAACATCAACTCTGTGTCAGTTACTGGGGTAACAGAGTCTGAACTAAATTTTGCCAGCACAAGTTTTTGTCTCTGACTCCTCCCCTTCTGAGCTGGCTGTGTGACATCCTGATTCATTCATTCATTCATTAGATTAAGAATAACTAATGATTAAATGAAATAAAAAGGTGAGTAAAGAAGAAACAGGAAGTACATCACGAGAAACTCCCAGCAGCCTAGACCTATTGAAGTGTAACTAACTGAGGATTCAGGGTCACCTGATCCATACTTAACTCATTCACTGCCAGCCATTGGCAGTGAATGAGTTAAACCCATTGACTCATACACTGCAATTGACGGCTATAGACGTCAATGGCAGTGAATGAGTTAACTATGAGCTTTATCAAAAAGAAAAGTTTCAAGTTTTATCTTAAATGTAGAAATCCAGGCCTGGAAGCTGAAAGCTTTATATAAGTATAAATGGTTAAACTGGGCAACATTAAAGCAGAGTTTTTCTCTAAATCTCATGGAGCACTTTCATTCAGTAAGTACAACTCTGTCAAAGGATGGAAGGAACACATTTCTTACATTTTTACTGATTAATTATTGGAACAAGAAAATAATCAGACTCATAAAAGCTGATTCGAGGGTGGATCTTCAGGTTTTATCTTCAGTTTCTGTCACCTGCATTTTGTCTCAATTGAATCATTACATTTAAACATAAAGAAACAGAATTCCAGCTTCATCTTATGAAAATTCAAGTTGGGTAAATGATAACAGCAGACACCATAAAAAATATATATTATATTATATTATATTATATTATATTATATTATATTATATTATATTATATTATATTATATAACAAGCTTCCTGGAATAGAGCCCTGCTGACTGTGACCTGAGGTGCAACGTGCCTTAAAATGTATTCTTTGTTATTCATATCTGATCCTACAATTTCTTACTCTAATTACCTTTCAGAGCTCCTCCTTGTTTTCTCTTTTTTTCTTAATCACTGACCTACTACACACACACACGCACGTGAGCGTGCACTATATTCAATGCTGTAGTGTCCCTGCTGTCCCCCAGTGACCTTCATTAGTCTGTGCCTTGTTAGGAAACTCAGGCCCAGAGGAATTGTTACACAGATAAACATTCTGTGTGTGTGTATGAGAGTGCTGATAAATGAGAGCTTGTTAATAAAAACAGCTGGGCCCTGTCCTCAGATGACAACTCTAAAAAAAAACATTCAGGGCAGCAAACAAGTACATACGTTCCCTGGCTTACACACACTCTGGCAAATCACCTGCTCCTCATTAACAGATTGCGCTAAACCCATACCCCTCCTTCCCTGGTCTGTTTTACTTTCACAGCCTCCATCCATAGACTTTATATAAAGATTAACATATTCACTGTGACGTCACCCAATGGTTTTGGATTCTGGACTGATTCTAATGGTGTTTTCCTAGCATTTAGGCTGATCTGCCATATTGTTTTTGTTTTTTAGACTAGCTCTAAATCTGAAACTTCCAGTCATACTTTTTTCAGTCAGGTAAAGTCATTATAATCATTTAAGGTTATCACTGAGACTTAACAACATAAAATATCATAACGAAAAAGTTGTATTTAAAAAATGCAGTAAAGTCACCACGATTTACAAATATAGCATTCTTTAATATCATGCCATTTTTTTTACTTAAGAAATACATTCTGGTTGGTTTCCACTTTTGATTTTGAAGACCTTAAATAAGTGTCAGTGTTGATGGTATATTTGCACATAAACCACTACATTGGACACTGATGTGTCACTCCATACTCTGCCACACACTCCAAAAGTGATGTTGTTCACCTAAGTGGACAAGTAAAAAACTATTTAAAAAGTACCTGTTTAAAAAATTTTTTTTCAAAAATCTTTTTTTCATGCATAAATAAAAATACTTTAACAATAAAGTATAATCGTATAATCCTGATTGAGGTTGTCATGATTCATGCATGAAAGGGTTAAAGAAATGATATGAGTTTGTGAAAGTAACCTCCATAAGCACTGCTAAAATATTTTCATAGATCATGGAGGAAGTAAAGGCAAAGCTTCTTAGTCTCAACAATTAACAACTGCATCATAGTACTTACGTTCCTTGCAGCACCACCGACTCAATCAAGAGCTGAAGACGGCTTCAGCAACACGTTCACACAGAGGGATGTTGATTGGAGCTTGAGCCTATCTTCTTTATCTCTTTGTTAAAAACTTGAGAACACTAACTTTGTGTGGGGCTTTTGGGAGAGCTCTTGCTATTGCTATTCACTTGTTTCATTTTCCTTCTTCCTTCCAGCTGTCACACAGGCTGTCAGTCTGTCTGGGTCATTCCCAGTCATTTCCTCAAGATTAATGTTCTAATGATGCTGCCTCCAGCAGCAGTATAAGCATTTTGTTATTTCCATGTAGGAGACCTCTTTCTTATTACTCAAACTGCCACAATTATGCCACAAAGTTTCCAAGGTTGCAATGACACTATGACTTGCATAGTATACAATTCACCCAACTTAGTCTTCTGTCCAACAATAAATGAGGATTTAAAATTGATGCTTTCAGAGCAAATTATAAATGGATTGATTCTTATATTGCATTTTTGTACTCTGAGTATTCAAAACGGTCATTCATCCCTTCACACAAGCACATTTTCTTTGCTTTCTATTTAATTCATACACATTTACACTCCAATGAACATATCAGAGAGCAGCTTTGCATTCACTATTTTGCCTAAGGATACTTTGGCTCACAGACTAGAGCAGCTAGGGATCCAATCACCAACGTTCCAATTAGTAGATGCCCTGCTCTAACTCCTGAGCTACAGCCAGGTTACTTTGCTTCTATCTTTGGTTTTACATTTAGTGTTATGAAATTTGCCTTTTAAGAACTAAAAGCTCATAAAATGTTTCAATGTTTCTGCATTTGGTTTCTGATGCAGATAGCAGAGCTGGTGGCCACTGAGTTTTTCGAGCAGGGGGATAAGGAGAGGCAAGAGCTGAACATTGAACCAATTGTAAGTAATTTCAGGGTTCATTTGAATGATATTGGATAAATCCTTCTCAACAGTGCAACATTTGCCATCGAGTGCCCGGGAATCTGTTCTGAATCCTCTGGTATTTCATCCTACTGCATTTAAATATATTCCCTTTCAAATCATGAAGTATCACAACACATTTTCAAGAACTGTGCTGATGTTACAGTCATGTGAAAAGAATGTTTTCTTAGGACTTTATGCAGTCTGTATTGGAAGATCTTTGTCCTACAGTATAAAGTGCCCAGGGATCACTGTTATTGTTATTTGACACTATATAAACAAACATTTGCATTTACAGTCATGATTAGTTAATCAGTTGCATTTGATTAGCAGCACCTGGCCTCTACTCACTCTTTTAATTACCTTTTTAATTCCTATTGAAGCAGTGGGAGGGTACTCATTCTTCACAGACGGTGCATTTATGTGACAAATTTCTTTTTTACATGACTATAAATACCTGTGTCTTTTCTTGTCTCAGTTATTTTGTTTGTAAATGTTGGACACACATTATAAATTTAACTAATTGTCATATTTTGCGGTAATCTCTCTCTCCCTCGCTCTATATATATTCTCTCTATATCTCTCTATATGTAGATATAGAGAGAGTGAGAGATAGCTATATATAGCAATATATACATGTATGTATGTGTATGTGTACACATATATATATATACATATGTATATATATATATATATATATATACACACATACATACATACATTTTCTCATAGATTTGTCTGTTTTGGGGATAAAACAGTTAACTTATATAAAGTTTACATCTCATTTTTTCAATCCTTTCACAGGACCTGATGAATCGTGAGAAAAGGGATAAGATACCAAGCATGCAGGTGTCCTTCATTGATGCCATTTGCATTCAGTTGTATGAGGTAATTCAGCCCTTGCTATTTTTGCTGACCAGCGTAGCTGATGAATAGCAATTCTTCCTGCATTCAGTTCTGCCTCTGATTTCCCATGCTGAATTGTCTTTATCACTGTCACAGACCTTGGCTGGCTTATCGGAGTATTGCTCCCCGTTGTTGGAAGGATGTCAGAAAAACCGGCAGCAGTGGAAGTGTTTAGCCGAGGAGTGTGAGAAGGGGCTTGTCAACGGCTTGGTGTGATCCAAACACCAGTTTGGTTTTCATCCAACTCAGATTTCCAGAGTTCTACATTTTCAACCTATTCTCATTAAAATTATCTAATAGCGTATTGTGTGGACTGACAGTGAGGTAGAAAAGTAATTTTCCTATCATGAAATAAAACACTAGCTATGGTCTGATAATAGAAGAGGTCACCTGCCTTGAGCAGTCTTAATACTTTAAGACTTAATCTATTACGGTTGAGGTGCCGCAGTCAGGTTTCACAGTTTGTCTTTCTTTTCCTTGTTATAATCTGGAGTTTACTCACCCGGCAAAGCGTTTGCTCAGATATAGGAAAATTACAAACGATCATGCATAGCCATGCCAATGAGTACAAGTTAAAAAATAAAGTAAGAGAGAAAAACAACTGTAAAAACATCTACAAGTCAGTCAGTTGACTTGTTGGTAATCTGCCTAGACTTGTCAGCACTTTTCCTGTCTCCCGGAGTATCAGTAATTCTTGTGAGTACTTTTCACAACAGATAAACTATGAAATAACATCAAAGTTGTACCTTTCCACCCCCACTATCAAACATTCGTTAAAAAGTTGTATGCTAGTTTTACAGCTAAGCCCTACTATGAACAGAAAGGAATGAAATGTGTCCATAACAAGAAATCATGGTTTCTGAGGTCATGGTCATTTTATCCTGTCACCACCATTTTTTCTCACTCACCAGAGATAATAACAAAGTCAGCACTAAGCTATATTTATTACCATAGACATTGTTATTTTTGCATAGAGTGGCTTTCATATTGATGGTCTCACCTACACTATCTGTGACAGGTAGTGAACTTTAGGGAACACTGAATGGTTAAGCTGCATACACTGGAAGCTCTACATATTTACTTCCAGTTCATATGTATTCTTTATTCCTATTGGTAGTTGCTTCGGTTAAAAAAAAAAATCTTCCCTTAGCAAATAGGAAATGGTAAACGGACTGATTCTTATTTAGCACTTTTCTACTCTGCCTGAACATTCAAAGAAGTTGCCTGTGGTTATTTCATCTGTAATCACTTGAAGTTGTGGGATGTGATTCACTTTGAATGGTCTGTATTCAGTATGTCGCTTCCAGTGTTCATGGAGCTTTAGCACCATTAGCACCATTCTAGTGGGATGAAAACAATGCAACTACTATATACTTAGTAGTATACTAGTGTCACAATAATCTTATAGACTTATGTCTTCACGGCACACACACACACACACACACGTGGGTTTGAGTCTTTCGTACATTTTATTCACTGTCTTAACTATTGCATATTTATTTTTGTTTTATATATTTATTAGAGTCTATATTGTAAGGTCATTCTTTTGTCAAAGCACACAATTATCTAGAAAATGTTTTCATATGTGGAAAAAAAATCCCGTCTTTTTTTTATAGGCCCTTTCTTAGGAACAACTGCTTCTTCTGATGACATTTGGAAATGTACTGTATTGTGTTATTTGGAATTTAAATTTTCTATTTTTCCAGCTGTAGGAAGAGCCAAAGATTAGATCTGTGATTTCAAAGGAAAATGGATCTAGATGTTGCCACTGCCTTGTTGCGTTAAAGTAGACAATTCAGTTTTACAGAACCACTTATTTTTATTTATCCATGTCCAGTAATGCTGTTTATGCATACCAATTTTACAAACTGAACGACGGAGTAATATCTACAGAATATAAAGTATGATTTACTCACCGAGGGTGGCATCTAGCTCTGATACATTGTGACGGCGTATAATTTCTATTTCTGTAAACCTGATTCTCTGATGGGTAAATTAAAAATCTGTTCAAACAAGATATTTGCTACAAGGGGGAAAAAAAGGATTCTTTAACATTTAGAGCAGTTTCTGTTGCACTACAAAGACTGACTAAACAACAGAATTTGGCAGAAAATTTCAGTGTGTAACCCAGAATGTATCCAGGAGCAACTTTTTCATTAGATAAAAGATATTAAGTGTTTCAGCGTTTTGATGTGTTTGGGTTCACTGCTGTCCACCCTTTAGAGGCAGAGGTTTTCAGTCTGTAGTCAGAGGCGAGGTGTCATCACCAACACATTTAAAAGAACAATCTGGTACCTTTGGACCTTGTGAAATGCAGGTTTTTGCTGATCCTGCAAGAAGGAACAATTACTCCTCAGTAAAAGTGATTTCAGCATGTCCACACTAGGAATAAATAGAAAATGCAACATTACTATGACATTTTTCTCTACACCTAGAATGTTTAATATCTAGTTTTGAAGGATGCTACTGTTACCCTTCAGAACTTTTTTTTTTATGCAGAAAAGAAAAAGTTCTGAAATGTTTTGGTAAATGAAACTGCTGAATCAGCAGAACTGGTAAAACAGTTAATTGTCCAGCCAATAAACTGTTGATGAGGAGTCACAGAGGTCTGGAAGCCATATAGGTGCATTTAATGAACAGCTTACTAATGGACATGACAGACTCATTTAAACTCAAGCACTTTTGTAGATGTACATGATCAGAAAGTTAATTTGTGTCCGTGGTTGTCATTTGTACATTGAATAAGTCTCCAGGACTATTTTACTTGTGCCTGTAGCTTAGCCTCTGTGCTCTCTGGAGAAAAAAAAAAAACCCTCACTGATTGGTTGTCAGCTTTTTCTTTTGCATGTATATGAGAGGGCATTACACGACAGATGGATGGATTTTTTTTAGGTAAGAGAATTGTGGGTTTTCTTTTGCAAAATGTAATATGCTGATACGGTACTATGATGGTGTTACACATCTGCAACTGTCGACACCTTTCAACACTGTGAGCGAAGTGAATAGTATGTCCCATTAAATAATACTTATTTACTATGTCTCCTGTGTGCTGTCTATGATTTCTCAAATGTACTAAACAAGCAATGAATGAATGGATGGATGTCAGTGTGCTTTCCAGTTATTAAAACACATTACTAAAAGAGTGCATTCCAAACTAACTTCTCTTTCTTGACCTTGATGAAAAGATCAGCTGCACCCCAAGACGGCATTGTCTCAAGGCTCCAAAAACCATGTGATATCTTTTATATAATGCTCCAAAATAAATAACACGATGAAAAACCTTGGCACCTCCTGAACAAAAGAAAACCACAGAATCACTTCTTTGGGAAAAAGCAAAATGCATTTATTTATGTCATTTTATAAAAGTTCAACATATATACCACTATCTTCTAAAACAGACTGAAAGAATGAAAGAAAGCAAAAGACTAAAGAAAAGACAGTTTTCTACAGACAAATGCCACTTGGCAGAAATATTTACATCAGTGTAGAAAGAACATTTCCTTCATGTCCTCATCATATTGACAAATAAGACACAGTGAAGCTCAACAAAGGAAAACAGGTCCTCGTTGTCCAGTCACGCACAGGCAGTGAACAAAGACACGGCAGTGTTAGATCTACTGGTTTCTATGAGAATCAGTGGTCGGTGCTGTAACAGCTCATGTGGTTTAGAAGTTTAAGCTGACTCAGTCTTCTTGTACGCCACCATGCTGTTCACCTTGTGGATCGAAGTGGTGAAGGAATGCAAACGCACCTCCTCTGGCTGGTCAATGGTCTGCGGCCCTGATTCTTCCCATTTATCTGGAACCACCAGGTCCTTGTCTGTATAAACCAAGAGGTCAAAAGCACCTGAGGGGAGGAGTTGAAATTATTACCCAACCACCACATCAAAGGCTCAAATGTCAAAAGTCTCATTACTCACATGGCGTCTCCAGCAGGGGCAAGAAAGTAACAGTGGCTGTTATCTGTCTGATAACTGAGCGTCTCATTACTCACATGGCGTCTCCAGCAGGGGCAAGAAAGTAACAGTGGCTGTTATCTGTCTGATAACTGAGCGGATCTCATGCTGAATTGTCTTAATGGACTTCTCTCTGGGTGCACTGGGTGACACATGAGAACTCAGTTAACATGCATCATTTATTAGTCAAACAATAGTCAGTTGAGTGTAATGACAGATGCTCATTTAACCAAATTACATAATCTGTTGTAAAGACTCTTCTAAAGTACAAATTTCATGTCATTTTATTGCAAAAAAACAAAACAAAAAAACTAATCCACTGCAAACATACAAATTCACATCTGTGTTGACAAATCAGCCAACCAACCCAAAGTCTGCACCATTCAACTCCTGTCAATAAGTGTAAGTAAACAGATCTGTCCAGATGCCTTAGAGCAGGGGTAGGTAACCTTTCTGATGATGAGTGCATCTAAAATGTCCTCAGAAGTCAGTGTGCCATATGATTGTATTAGCAAGAAATTTAATAACGCTCTATATTAACAGTTACACACTATAGAGAACCACTTTATAGTTCGCAGCTATCAGCGAATAGCTTATTCAGCTATTTTGAAACAAAAAAAAAAGACACTTTTTATCCATAACAGCAAATGAACTGTACAAATGCTATTTATGGTCTCCTCGCAACAATGATAAGAAAAATAAACTGAGCCAATATGGCATGTTTGTTAATACACTCTGATCTCTGGTCTCCCACTCAGAGACACAGGGCTCCGAGCATCCAGCATTCAGACGGCTACCTGAGGACTCTCTTCATGTGAGAGAAATCTGCTCACACAGATATGTAGAACCAAATACTGTCAATAAGGCCTCTGCAATGTTCTGAAGACAGTTAAACTTGTCAGGTAGTGATGTCCAGCAGGTGAAAATGCAAGCTCCATGAACACGCACAGCTGTGGATTCCAGCTGCTTCGATGTTGCATTAACTGGCATTAACTCAGCCAGTTAATGCGAGACAAGTCTAGCTGCTCATTAAAGCTTTCTGGTTTGATCAGAAAATAAAACATTGGTCCATACACCTGAAAGTCCCAAAAACGCATTGTGAATTCTGTCTCGAATCTACAGATGTATCCGTGTATTTCTTCCTTCCCTTATAACTTCCCTTCAACTCATTCATGTCACCTAAAAGGTAAACCTGTTTCTCCATCACCTGTTCAGCTCTGATGATTGTCCTGAAGCTACCTGAAGCACAAAACAATTTATATAATATATCACTCCACTCAAACTGACGGTGGGGGAAGTACAAGTGCAACATGCCAGGTGTTGGAATTAGGAGACAGCAAATTAATGACCATTAGCATGGAGCCTTTAAAACAAAACAAACAAACAAACAAACAAACAAGGTAATAGAGGTCCTGACCTGCTCTCTTTAGCCGACTTGTCACACTCAATGTCAAACTGCCATCTCTCGAGCACCTCGTTGGTTTCCAGACACGTGATCACCAACACCAGCTTTTGCACAGTGCACTCAAACAGCCACTCTGCAACACCAAAAGAGCAAACAACACTTATTAAAGTTGGTTATGCAAAGTGAGAGGTAGTTAAACACCCTAAAAACATAATACAAACATGTACAGAATTTTGTATCCACAATAGTTGTGGATACAAAATTGTGATCTCTTGGATATAGTATCCAAGAGATCACAATTTCTGTGAGAAAAATGATGATTGATTTGTATTCTGTAATTTCACTACTCTTAGCATTACACAATTGAGAGCTTGAGTGATTTGACATATGCACCCAAAAATATGAATATTCTGGTACGAATTACATTAAACTTGAACTGACAACCCAGAGATATTTACTCCATTTAGTTTTATTTACATTGCACTAAAAATCACAACAGTTGCTTCAAGAGACTTTATACTTTAAAGTAAAGACCCCACAGGCTTAAAAAGAAAAACAATCAGATGATCCCAGAACAGCAAGCACTAGGCTGATGGGAATAAAAAAAACTTCTTTTTAACAGGAAGAAACCTGAGGAGGCAGCCATCAACAGTTGCATGCATTGGATTTAGGAAAAAAATAAAATATTACAATGGCATCACCTTGGACAGAAAAGGGTGCACCGATCTCCTTCCTCATTCACATACATAATGGCAAAATCAAAAATTGGTAAATCAAAAATTAAAAATCCAGCGTTTTTAAGCAGAAATAGCTTGTAGTTCACCTGACAAGAGCCTAAGAGTAGCTTAACACAAATTTGTGTAACATGGGAATGGAAACTCACGTGTGCTGCTTTGTATGTTACTTAACATTGATCATAAGATGCCAGGTCATACCAATTAAAATCTCAGGCATGAGTCTCATAGGCATCTGCGTTCATCTTCAACATCATGCTGCTCTGCTGTACGTTAATCGCCCCTTGGGGATAAATAAAGTCTTTCCGATTCTGACTCTGATCTAATTCAACACAACAAAAAGGGGAGGGGGAAATGCACCACCACGTGGCCCTACTCAGCAATCGCAACTAACAAGTTACTATTTATTGAGTAAAGACGATCACCGAATTAGCAAAATAAATTGACAAAATCATTCATTGTTCACAAACATCATCTTATTTTGTACTTCGCTACGGCTTTTGCCTTTACTTTGCCTTCTCCATAAAAATCCAAAGTCACTCCCCACCAAGCTGTGAGCTCAGTTCTCACCAATTACGTTTTTTCTTTTCTATCTGCTGTTCAAGGAAATCCACTTAAAGTAAAGTAGACTGAAGTTTTGTTTGTTTTCTTAAGTACAATATGTCCACATTTTTTCAAGGTCTAAGAGTAAATATGTAAAACGAAGAAAAACAGCATCTCCATAGTGACCAAAATAACCGTGAGTAAGATTTCTTGCCGTAAGCCAGCAGCCTTGTAGATATAGCTACAGAACTCGAAGCCCAAAACTACAACTGGAGTGCCTTCAGACCGCAGTTGGTTAGCTCACTCAGTTCCACAGTTATTCCACTTTCTCCTTAGTTGTGTCACGAGTGGGGAAGTCCACTATTGAGATACCTTTAAGTTGAGACACCACGTTAGTCAGATAGCTCTTCAGCTTGGGGTCGGTAGTTAGTAGGAGACTCAGGTCATAGTGGGTAACTCTGGTGAATGTCTCTGGAGGATAGATGCCCCGTTGGTACAAGATGCTGTTGATGCCGAAAGCTGTGAATGACAATGGGGAAATCAAAGGCTTCAAATACGCCGGAATTCCAGTATTCGTAAACTTTAGAGGCTTATATGATTCAAACTTGAAAGGCACAGAAGAGTACAAAACAACTACACAAGAAAGGGAATAACACGAGAGAAAACTAACTGGGAATCAATTAGCTCGGTAGAATAGAAACGATGTATGGTGTACGTTCACGATTCTCAATACAAGGGCAGACAACAAGACAGTCTTTACAAATTATTCGGTTTGAAGTTGTGAATTGACGCTTATAGGATACATAAGGCTTAAACACTTTATTTTTCATCAACTGGAGCTATGCTTGCCATGTGAGTGCATACATGCTGCGTTGATGCTAATATGTTATCGGGCACTATGTAGGCCCAATAGCATATTAGCGTTGCATGCATGCGTGTCGAAAACGAGCGACTAAAAGACGAAATAAGAGAAATACTTACAAAAGAACTCGGCTACTAACTCCGCGCTTCCTTTGAGAGTAATTCCCTTCAACGTGCTTGTCATTTTCTTAACGCTTTGGTCTAGCTCTCAACAGTAAATATATTGTACTCTTTATTTTCTTCTTCTACGTCTACCGACTTCAACTACCCGCCACCCAGTTTGAATTTTGTCAGCTTCCACACTATTGCGCATGCGTGTGAGATTGCGTCGCGATTTTGATGACGTTTTAGGTTACGCTTACAATTTTTCTACACTAGAGAGCAGTGTAGAATAATTAAAGACCTTTCTACCTTGTAATTGACTGTATATTAATGTAATGTATCACTGCACAAATGACTGAATTAATAAGTTAATATTGTAGATACCACGTTTTGTTAATCCTAAAGGGGTCCAAACAACCATTGTATGCAGACTTGGAAAAGTCACTCTGTAAAACAGAAAATTGCAAAACAAAAGAAAGACAACTTCAGTTAATGCT